TCACCTTTCATCTCATCTTGTCTCATCTCATCTAGTTTAATCTTGTCTCATCTCATCTAGTGTCTTTTCCTTTCATCGTGTCTCACCTCACCTTGTTTCCTTTCATCTCATCTCGTGACTTTTTCTTTCATTGTGCCTCATCCCACCTCACCTGGGTTCCTCTTCTCTCCTTTCATATCATCTTGTCTCATCTCATCTAGTTTAATCTTGTCTCATCTAGTGTCTTTTCCTTTCATCGTGTCTCACCTTGTTTCATTTCTTCTCATCTCATGTCATCTCATGTCTTTTTCTTTCATCGTGTCTCATCTCACCTCACCTGGGTTCCTCTTCTCTCCTTTCATCTCATTTTGTCTCATCTCATCTTGTTTAACCTTGTCTCGTCTCATTTCGTCTCACCTAGAATCTTTTCCTTTCATTGTGTCTCATCTCACCTCACCTGGGTTCCTCTTCTCACCTTTCATCTCATCTTGTCTCATCTCATCTAGTGTCTTTTCCTTTCATCGTGTCTCACCTCACCTTGTTTCCTTTCATCTCATCTCATTTATTTTTCTTTCATCGTGCCTCATCTCACCACACATGGGTTCCTTTTCTCTCCTTTCATCTCATTTTGTCTCATATCATCTTGTTTAATCTTGTCTCATCTAGTGTCTTTTCCTTTCATCGTGTCTCACCTCACCTTGTTTCCTTTCATCTCATCTCATCTCATCTTGTGTCTTTTTCTTTCATCGTGCCTCATCTCACCTCACCTGGGTTCCTCTTCTCTCCTTTCATCTCATTTTGTCTCATCTCATCTTGTTTAACCTTGTCTCGTCTCATTTCGTCTCACCTAGAGTCTTTTCCTTTCATTGTGTTTGATCTCACCTCACCTGGGTTCCTCTTCTCACCTTTCATCTCATCTTGTCTCATCTCATCTAGTTTAATCTTGTCTCATATAGTGTCTTCCTTTCATTGTGTCTCACCTCACCTTGTTTCATTTCATCTCATCTCATGTCATCTCATCTCGTGTCTTTTCCTTTCATCGTAGCTAATCTCACCTCACCTGGGTTCCTCTTTTCTCCTTTCATCTCATTTTGTCTCATCTCATCTCGTCTCGTCTCGTCTCACCTAGTGTCTTTTCCTTTCATTGTGTCTCATCTCACCTCACCTCACCTGGGTTCCTCACCTTTCATCTCATCTTGTCTCATCTCATCTAGTGTCTTTTCCTTTCATCGTGTTTCACCTCATCTTGTTTCCTTTCATCTCATCTCTCGTCTTTTTAACATTGTTTCATTTCATTTCATCTCGTCTCAGTTTTTTCTTCTCATTGTGTCTCATCTCACCTCACCTGGGTTCCTCTTCTCACCTTTCATCTCATCTTGTGTCATCTCATCTAGTTTAATCTTGTCTCATCTAGTGTCTTTTCCTTTCATCGTGTCTCACCTCACCTTGTTTCCTTTCATCTCATCTCAT